AGTCTCGATCTCCTGACCTCGTGATCCACCCGCCTCGGCCTCCCAAAGTGCTGGGATTACAGGCTTGAGCCACCATGCCCGGCCTTCAGTTTTCTTTCATTTACCTGTGCTTTATCTCTTGGTAATAGCAATCTTTGTCAAATATCAACTAACACATCCAGGTGAATGACTCCTAAATTGATTCCTCTCTTGTCACACTGGTTGCTAGACTTTTCTATCTGGACATGCTCTTTTTTCATCTCAAGCTCAGTTATGTCCAAACCTAAATTTTATATTACTACCCTAAGCTTCCCATCCTTCCCATCTCTTTTCTTCTACTTAGGTTAGCAGCACCATGCTTATGGTTACCATAAGTACTCTCTCCTCTTTTCCTCTACTACTCTACTCTTCCCTCTGGAGACACCAATATCCACAATTCTCTAATGTTTCTAGGACAGGCACATGTCATAATCACTGCCATGACACCACTTTAAATTTTTACTCAAACTTGTGGCTGGACTACTTAAGTGTTTATATTTCTAGTTACTTCCCTCTCTTTCCATCCTATACATAATTGCCCTGAACTACTCAAATGTACTCAAAAACTTTTTTTTTTTTTTTGAGACAGAGTCTTGCTCTGTTGCCCAGGCTGGAGTGCAGTAGCATGATCTCGGCTCACTGCAACCTCCGTCTCCCAGGTTCAAGTGATTCTACTGCCTCAGTCTTCCAAGTAGCTGGAATTACACAGGCGTGTGCCACCACCCCCGGCTAATTTTTGTGTGTTTTTTTTTCCTCTTGTTTTTTTTTTTTTTTTTTTTTTTGAGACAGAGTTTCACTCTTGTTGCCCAGGCTGGAATGCAATGGTGCGATCTCAGCTCACCGCAACCTCTGCCTCCTGGGTTCAAGCTATTCTCCTGCCTCAGCCTCCCGAGTAGCTGGGAATTACAGGCATGCACCACCATGCCAGGATAATTTTGTATTTTTAGTAGAGACGGGGTTTCTCCATGTTGGTCAGGCTGGTCTCGAACTCCCAACCTCAGGTGATTCCACTGCCTCAGCCTCCCAGCCCTTATAATCTACTTTTAACCTACATACCCTATTATGCAAACAAAATATTTTTTCATTTGCTAAACACAGCCTGTCATCCTTTCAGAACGCTTGTTTCTTAACCTCTCCCAGATGGAATTCTACTTATCAAAGTTCAGTTCCAATGTCACTTCCCCATTTAAACATTTTCACCTTCCTTATACTCTTAGAAAATAGTATGAACTTCTCTTTGCCCTTTTACTTCACACTGTGTTATACATTATCATTATTTGTGTATCTGTCTTCTCTCCTTGACTACAAGCTCTTTGAAGACAGGAAACTTATACTGGTCAACACTGAATCCATTACTGTATGCCAGTATCTTGTACAAGCAGGTGCCCAATGTATGTATTTTTAACTTGAGCGATTAAACTACAACTGAAATTTCCTATAATACTAACTGATAAAAAGCAGGACTCAATAAATGGTAGTATTTATCTTGGTATTTATACAATGTGGGTCAGCAACAGAAATACTAAGGGCAAAAGAGCTTGTTATAAATATGACTTAATTTCAAATCAGTTTTATGGCATAAGCTTTGAGAATAATCATATGGTGAGGTTTCACTATTTCTGGGAATTAGTGTTGATGTACTAAGCTGTCCATATCACACTGTTAGGTAGGCATGGGCTTTTGAGGGTAGAAATGGACTACCAATCCCGATTTTCCTTGAAAACTCTGTCCTTACACTTAAAACAATCCCTAACCATGTCAACAACTGGTGAAAGCTCCTTTATATCAAGGAAAGAAAGTAATAGTTTAGAGTCATATAAGAGCACTATCTTTAAATGACTTAGTGAAATGCCCCAATGCTGTATGTAAAATTGGTGTAAACTTAAAAAAAAAAAATCACTGTCTAAACAGGAGAAGCAGCACCAAAAACATATCAAGTATAAAAATAAGTCATTTCTGATATTTTTTCCAAAAGCAGCTTCTCTATTTGTACAATAAAAGCCAACTTTTTCACTCATCCATCACAGTCACTGGTTCTACTTTACCAGTTAAAGTGATGACAGACAGAATTGTTATCAATACTTTTCCTAAATTTACAGATAGCCCTGTAAGTTACAGGCCTTTTTAAAAAATCACTTTTACTTTCATAAAAAGAATGTCTATGGTGGGAGAGGAGGAGCAATACATTTGAAAAGTATGATAACACAGCCTATTGGATCACAGGTCATTTCACTAAGCTTTATATCTGAGTGTTTATTTTATTACCAAATCGCAAACAAATCATACTTATTCTATAGAAATTGTGCTACTTTAAGTTCTAAACACAGGCTTTATTTGGCAGAGTATTCTAAATCAGGAATACGTTTCTTTTCATACTTCCTGGCCTTAAAAGAACTCCTACACTGATGTTTGAAGGTAAGAATAAAAAGAAGAAAAAAAATCAGTTACTTAAAAAAATAGGGGTAAAGAGTGATTTAGAGTCTAGAGTCTAAACAAAGTAAGCACTCATTCTGCATGCAGTCCATGGTCCTCATACTGTTAAATGACCAATAATGAGTAACTCCCAATACCTTCTGCCAGGCTTAAACGGTAATATGCCTCATTTTACTCCAACAAATGAGACTCCTCCTCCTATCAGTCATGGTCTATTCCAATCAGCAGGGTGCCAATAAGCCAGAGGCTAATGAAAAGGGCTTTAGACAAAAAAGAAACAATGGACTGCTACCAAGCCGAACCCCGGAACTGTGAGCCCAATTTTTTAAACACTACAGTGCACATTTCAGTTAATCTTTATTATGCTAATGTTATTGAGTCTAAGGAACAAAGAAAGTTATTTCATGAATTACTTTTAAACATCAACTTCCCTGAATTTTCTTTTCTTTTGTTAGAGACTACTGACCATTTATCCAGATTAATACACACATACATACACACATACACACACACACTCTCTCTCTCACTTTTTCCCTTGCTCTGAGGTAGAAATCAAAACATAAATTATCACAAAGAAGTCTGATATAATCAACAAAGTTAAACAGTCTTCTTGTTTGATCTCCTCTAAATTAAAGACCAAGTGTTTTGATATGGTATTAGGCACTGAAATAAACCAGATGTTTCTTCCTCTATATAACTCTCCACGGGCACAATCTTAAAGGGTTATTGTCTGGCAAACGTTCAGGGAAACACATTAGAAATGGCACGAATATCCAGATTTTCCTTTCCTTCTATCTACCCTAGTTTTTCTTTCTTTCTTTCTTTTCTTTCTTTCTTTCTTTCTTTTTTTTTTTTTTTTTAATCTAAACTAATGCATAATCCACAGGGCTTTGGGAACTTTGTGTAAATACTTTCATGTACAATTCTCTTTCTTGCTATCCTGAGATTAAGACCACAATTATCCAGGCTTAAACCTAAAATAAAGGAACCTTTGCAAATGCATTATCTGGCCTTACATGTTTAATCACACAGTATTCTGTGTGCTCTTTAATACCTAAACTGAAGAACAAAGGTTGTACCCTCTGATGTTTCACAATATGAAAGATCTTTTAAGACATATATCAGACAATTGGGGAAATAGAATTACTTTTTAATGACAATAGCATAGTGTTCTCCATCTAAAACCAGATGCTATATTAAAAGCGTCACATTCTAAAGAACTTAAAATTTCAAAATAGTCAGAGTCACCATTTCAAAAGATCTATAATACCTGACATAAAATTATGATATGCATGTCAGACTCTCAAATGTAATCCTCATTAAGTTCCTTCTCCTCATCTCTTCTAATCCTTCCTATCCCCAGATAATATAATGTTTTTCTTTTTCAGTACATTTTGAGTGCACTAAACATATATTAAAGTGAATGTGCGTCTGTAAGGAAAGTTGGAAAAAGAATGTATTTGGGGAGGTGTCCAGCTAGGAAGTGGGGAAGCAGATGGATTGAAGGAAGGGATTTGAAATGTGCAGACTATGGCATGCAGTGATGGAGCAGATGGAATGCATCACCATCAGCTATGACAGAAATGATTTATGGAATGACCTGGCTGCTCCTGCCTAGTAACAACACAGGATGACAGAGCTGAGTTTCCATGACAACCAAAGCCCACCCACTAACTAGATTAAACATTTCTTCACTGGATTCCATTCACAGTGAATTTGGGTTTTCTTTTCCAAATGCCATTTTGGTTTGGCTAGTATGCTGTTTATAATACGGGAAGATACTCAAGGATGTGAAGGGTAACAAAATGAACTTGAAGGGCCACTGAGAACATCACAAATTCTTGCCTGCCTATATGCCAAGGTTCCCTGATAGAAGCTTTTCTTTAATACAATAAACAAACGACCTTTGAGAAAAAAAGTCCCCAAAATGCAGCTTATATTTTAAAAAGTTATTTAGCACTGAAAGTTCAAATGTTATTTGTCCTGCTACATGTGAAATATCAGTTACTAGATTCTTCCAGAATCAGGAGAAGGAATATGGCAAGCCAATCAAATACCTGGGAACCTCTCAGATTTAGTATAGAATAAAATTTTCTTCCTAAATAGGTCATTTTCATCAGGTGACAGTAAGTTGAGAAAAGGGTGAGATAATTTTCTTTCATTCTCATCAATACCCTGTAAGAAAATTACCATAGCATTGCACTTTCTGGATGTATGGAGCAGTGGTTAGGAGCAGAGTCTGAAGCAGGTCTGATCAGGGTTCTAATATATATGGGCTTTATCCATGCTAGCTTATGAGTCCCCTAGGGCAAGCTGCTTAATCTTTCTGAGCTCAAGTTACTTAACCTTTTAAACCGTAGTTCCTCATCTGTAACGTGGGGATAACAATGCCAACCTTACAGGGCTTTCTTGAGGATTAAATGAAACAGGGCATGTAAATACTTAGTATAGGGCCTAGCACCTAGTAAGCATTCAAATTATAGCTGATAAATTTTGTGGGTTTTGTTATTATCATTACTATTATTATTATATGATCCAAGACAGAACTCAACAAACATTCACTGAGCTCCATTTTGTGTGTGCTTCATCTCTACTCTGTAGTAGATGAGTCTGACTTGGCTTCATTTTCCAAGAAGCTAGTATTCAGCTGTAGAGAAAAAGTTATTTACAGAAACAATATACAAAGAGGTTTATCTCCTTAAATATTCAACAGTTGCTTCCTACTACTCAGGTATTAAAAGTGCTCTGCCTTCTCCATGAATGGCAACGAATGTATCTGCAAGTTAATTGTACTTCATAGAAAATAAAAGACAATTCTGTGGGAATTATAAGAAGCATACTGCTCAGAAAACAAGAAGAAAAAAAATCATCTAAAGTGAAATTTTAGCAAGTGCAAACCACAAATGCCCCTTTTTAATAATTAGATTTGAATCTGTGGTAGATTTACTGAAAAATGCTCTCCCTTCTAGTTTTGGCATTCTGAAAGAAGAGATTTTAATGTTTTAAGAATCAGATAATAAAATATAATCACTGCTTTGTCATTAATGTTCTGATGTGATGTATGTGAACTAGTTGCTCAAGAAAATACTATCGGAGTCCTTCAAATCAGTTTTACTCATTTTAGCATGATTCTTCAATGAATCTGGCTTTTTTGCAGAGAAGGCTCTCATTTCCTATCCCTTGAGTAAATTAGGTGCAGTTGACCTTATGGAAAAAAAAAAAAAAATACCGTACATAAAATGCTTTTGATCTTGGAAAAGCTCCTTATAAAGGCACTTCATTCTCTGGATCAGAATACTGAGTTATCTTTCGTGGCTCCACTTGACTTATATTAATGGGCCACTTACTAACTATGTATTTAGAAGAAATAGATTTAATGATTATTCTTGGTAGTTTGTGCTTTAGATGACTTCTTTTTCCTCTTCCCAGCATTTGCTGTACCATAGGCATAGCATTTAAGGGCACATATCAATACAAACCGAGAAAAACTCTAAATGTGTAATGAAATTGATTTTGTTACATCTACACTCTTTAGATACTTATCACCTACAAATTCTAATCACTGTATTCAGCAGTGTAAAATTCATTCAGTAGAATGTGTAAAATCAATACTTACAGATGCCAAAGCCTTTCCAAGTGCATCACCTGTCTGTGAGCTTCCAGCAGCATTCCCTCTGGTTCCTGGATATTTCATAGAGAAACAAATCAAGAATTTTACCAGCAAATATATTTTAGTACTCTGCCATTATTTCAAGGGTGTTCTCTATTGCCATCTCACATCCATTACAATAAACTAGGAAATACTCTGCATGTGTTGTACTTATTAATAAAGATGAGTTCTTTACCAGTCTCTATATTGATGAAAATAAAAAAGCTTCTTGTCTTCCTGTCTTTCACTTTTAAATTCAACACCAAAAAATATACTGAAAGAGGGGCCAAGGCCAGGTGCGGTGGCTCATGCCTGTAATCCTAGCACTTTGGGAGGCTGAGGCAGGCGAATCTCTTGAGCCCGGGAGTTCAAGGCCAGCCTGGGAAATGTGGAGAAACCCCACCTCTGCTAAAAATGGAAAATTAGCTGGGTGTGGTGGTGTGTGCCTGTAGTCCCAGCTACTTGGGAAGCTGAAGCTGGGGCATCACCTGAGTCTGGGGGTGGAGGTTGTAGTCACAGAGTGAGAGAGCTGAGAGAGTGAGACCCTGTCTCAACAACAACAACAACAACAACAACAACAAGGCCACGTGTGGTGAGTCATGTCTATATAATGCTAGCATTTTGGGAGGCCGAGGCACAAGGATCACTAGAGGCCAAGAGTCTGAGACCAGCCCTGGCCACATAATGAGACTCTGTCTCAACAAAAAGTACAAAAAAAATTAGCTGAGTATGGTGGTACATGCCTGTAGTCCCAGCTACTGGGGAGGCTGAGGCAGGAGGATCACCTCCTCAACCTTGGAGATTGAGGCTGCAGTGAGTCATGAGTGTGCCAGTGCACTCCAGCCTGGGTGACAAAGAGAGACTCTGTCTCAAACAAACAAACAAACATACATATATATACACACACACACACACAAATATATATACACATATATAAATATACACCCATAGATATACAAAATTATATACATATATAAATATATATACACACACATATATAAATAAAAAAATATATAAAAAGATATGGGGGTCACTGAAAATCCCCAAACTAGGTTTTAGGAAGTTTTGCCAACTCATAAAGCTCACCTAGAATGCTATCTGATCCATTGATGGGAGGAGTGTGCGAGGCAGCAACATAAGGTGAACTGCTGGTACTGCCGCGATGAAAGCTGGACATTGGTGGAAGACTCGTGTTTATGTCTGTTGGTGAAACTGAATGTGGAGGATAACTCTAGATGGAAAGAGATACGATCTATTAAATATATTTTCTGAATAATATTTACATATAATGGACAACTATAATAGGTCAAAAAGAGCATTTATAAGTTAGCAGCTAAAGAGTGCTACTTATAGTCATTTATTTTTTAAAATGGCATGGTAAATGCGGTAAGCCTTGAAGTACTTCAAACTTCAGAAGTTTTGGCAGAATCAGATTTTACACTTCTAATCCAAAATGAAACACAAGTGAGGACAAAGTGTTGCTGTACCCTAGTCATGTGTTATAGCCTACCAAGCGGTCATGTGAATGAAGGTTGCCATAACTACTGGATTGAGACATGTGGGAAGTGGAGGTCCCCAGAATTCCACCAAAACCAGGCTGGCTCATCCCATTTGATGAACTCCAAAGGTCAGAAGAATTGTGGGTCCCATCTAAGACAAAAAGAGAAATACAAAATTTTCCTTAGCTAAAATTTTTCTTGTATTTTGATGTTGCTTATAAAAATTCAAGGGGTACCCTCCAGATATTTTTCCTCCCTTTTCCAACCTAGTCTTCTACCCACTTTTCTTTCCTCTAAACTGTAAAATTACCATTTAAAAAGGAGAAATTAACATTTTAGTTAGGGAAAAAAGTAATCTAATCTGTAATAGGCAGGCCATTATAAAAATCTTCAGAAGATCTAAATTCGTATCAAGGAAGATAATAAAAATTCCAAATTTGGAAATAGGCTAGATTTATTTTTAGTTAAGTGGTATACTCATAAATACACAGAAAGTTATTAATCCATAACATGCAATGTGCATAATATCAAACATTTTGAAACTGTGGAATAAAGAAGTTTCTCTAAGAGTAAAACTAAGTAATTGATAATTACCACATTATAGTTAGCTTTCAAATGAAATGTGTTAGCAATGACTTCACTCAACAATATAAAGTCAAGGAACCATTTATGTAGTAATTTATTGCTCCCATATATTTGCTTCCCATAGTACAAAACCACAGGAGACCAAATAAAAATGATTTGCTAGACATGAAGTAAAGGAAATGCAACACTTTTTCTCTCTTAACAAGTCTTACTCTGTTCTATGATATTCACTCTTTCTTTATATTGGTAATTCTAGGCATGATATGAATCCATAAATGAAGCAAGAAACTAGAGTTAACAACTTTCATACACTTAAATTCTAAAATGAGCAAGAACAGCTCTATTTTTTTCAATTTAAGACCTTTATAAATTCCATCAATACTGGAACAGCACGCCAACGGTTTGCTAGATAATTCAATTAAATTGCAGTCAGTAATAAACAGCACTGGAAAATTATAAAGCTAAATTTTAATTTCCTTTAGCCAAAAAAATACCTAGATAAGGCCTGAATATAGGTATTCTCTTTCCTAATACTTTAAAATACTGGCTGATATACAGATGACTGCAGTAGTATTTGGCAGTTGTTTGGTAGTACTTACCTTGCATAAAGAAAGTGCTAGCGAACATACTGGTTGGTGGCTTAGGAGATGGATAACTAGGAGATTCACGGTTGAAATCATCTGAATTTGGGGATGGTGCATATACCTTAAAATTAAATGGTACATTTAATTAAAATGTAAATGACTACCGTATTACTTACATAAAATGAGTTCTATATTCTCTAAGGGGCTTAAAAAGGCCTATCTAATTTTTACAAAGGGCTACCACAAATGAAAAGAATATTGCCTTAAATCCACATAAATAATGTCAAACTTAATTACCATCCACATGTTTTTTTTTAAAACTGGTTATTAGAGAAAAATACAACTCTAAATATCTCTGTAATGCATCTTAGTATGACAGTTACACCAAGTGATTGAATAAGCACTGAACTGGCTTACCAAACACAAACCTCACGTAGGCTCATGATTCAAAATCTGATGGAGCAAACAAATGTCCTTTGAATACAGCATAACATAAAATCTGGGTTCATAAAATTCATTCTTTTCAGTGTTACAAGATTCACCAAATAAAATCAAAATGAGTTTGATTAAACGTTGCTATCTTTGTTATAATTAGAAGGTAACTATCAAAGGCACAACACTTCTTAACTTGGTAGAGTTAGGAACTTTCTTAACTTGGTAGAGTTAGCAAATAAATTAAAAACACATTGCTAGTACACTTTCAAGTCTGGCAAAGCTTTAAGAAAAATCTCATTTAATTTATTAGAGCAGTATTAATTTCCTCTGATAAACCCTTGCTTTTAGATAAGCAAACTGCAAACATTTTGAATTAGCAAATGGCCAACATTTGCATTCCTCTGGAAAACTAAATGGGCAGCCAAATAACCTTAATGATCAAAATGTGATCACACTATTCTCTTAACTACTGAAACAAAGGTGGAAAACAAATAATATCTAAAGTGATACACAGTCTACAAAAGTCAACCAGAAGTCAGGAGGAAGAGAAAGCTAAGCTATTGTGAGCAGTGAATGAAATAAACTAATTTTGTTTTCAACAAACTAAAAATTTTAAATGTTGATTAAAATAGAATAACATTAAAATTATGGAAGCATCTATTATAAAAATCATATATCAATTTGTTTGCATAAGCATAGAAAATTTCTAGAATTACACACAAGAAACCTGACACTGGTTAGTTACATCGTTAGACTGCGAATTGGGAAGGAGGACTTTTACTTTATGTTCTTCTACATAATTTGATATTTTACCCCAAGTTTAAGGAAGCACACCAAGATTAAAATGGGATCCCAACTTTTTATTTACATAAACTGTCAATTATATTAATTTATTCTTTCTTGGAGGTATTAACTGTAAAGACCTCTTGCAAATTACCCTAATCTTCCCAAGACTCAATTCCCTCTTTTGTAAAATGGTGTTAACACTGCTTGCATGAGGAGATTGATGGGCAGATCAGATGAGATTATATATAAAATGTTTAGCACAGTGCTTTGTACAAAGTATGCAGGCAATAAGTATTAGCTAACAGTATCATCTTTCATTCTAATAGGAGCAGTTATGTTGCCAAATATTACCTGTTCAATACTCAAATGCTGTTCCTTACAGTGTTTGTCTAACGTGAGCCTAGTTATATACACAGTTTATTCTAAATAAAAGGTAATTTTTACTCTGTGTGCTGGTCCTGATAATGCTAGCACAGGTGATTTTTTTTTTTAATGGACTGGCATTCAGGTTTGTTTCCTACCTTTCACATCCCAGAGATAAAAACATGCATCTGTGGTACCTGAGAAGTCTTGGAAAAGATACAGTATATTCCTAAGAATTATCTAGAAGGATCCCCTAGTTTGAGGAATATGGCAGATAAAATGGTTTGTTCATCACACATATTAAACATACTTTTCTGGTTTAAACGTATTTCACAAATGATTGTGTTGAAATAAAATAACTGACTATATACAAATGTGTCTGCAACGTATTGTACAGCCTGATAGGCAGATAAGGTTTTCAGGAAAGGAACTTTGGACTATTTTCTTTTAATCAAGTTTCATCTTTTAAACTTAGCCCTAGCTAGAAATCCTCGTGTCCCCTTTCTATATAGATTTCCTCAAGCCAAGCTAAAACCACGAACAACAACAAAATAGAATAAATCCATAGAACTATCCAGAAAATACAACGAGAATCAAATTTAGAAGACAGCACCCGAACATATGCTTTCTATCACAAATGTGCACTTACTATACACACCATCCTTGATATGTACGGATGAAATATAAAATTCTCTAATTCTATCTAGGTTATAGATTGAAACAGTATGTAAGACTCTCATACTTGATATTTACGAAAACACTCCAGTTTTGATGTGTCATTTTACACAAAAATGGACATAATTTGTCAGTTTAAATTTTTACATAATTTATCAATTTATATTTCTTTATCCTTATTCCCATTCAATTCACTGTATTCCACACATTAATATACTTACATTTTTAAAATTTGAAGATGGTTACAATTACAAAAGGAAGTAAAAGGATAAACTTTACTGATTTACAAATCACTGCTAAATAAAAGAGAATATGCTGATCAGATAATGGTTTATTGACAGTTGTCATGGAAAGCAAGAAAACTAAGAAAAACCACACAAAGCACAGAGACTTGCCTTCCCTTACTCAAAAAGTTTGAAGTTGTATGGAGAAAACGGCACATTTTAGAGGTAAAGTTTGTTTTTAATGCTATATCTTTCAAACAGATTTTGAAAACAATGGACTTTTAAAGGTCAGACCTTATAAATGAAAATGGCAAAAAAAAAAAAAAACCAAAAAAACACAAAAACAAAAAACTCCTACTATATCATTTTTGTACTAACACGAGTTCAAAATTTTTATACTAAGAATGTTTTGAAATATATGGCTTTCAAAGAGGTACATTTACCAGCATTTCTAACACAGGCTAAATAAGCTAAATAACTTTACTTTTGGTATCTTAACTATAGCTTGCAAAAACATAGATGCAATGTTATGAAGCAGCAGTCGTGCCAGTCTTGATTTTTCAGATCAAAGACTTCTTGCGGCAAAGCACAACTGATGTGGTCTCAAAGGCTTTATTAACTCCAGATGTAGGGAAATAGTCAGCCAATTCCACAAAAAGAGCAAGTCTCTCTTAGTTACAATCAGTACTGGCCACAAATTAAAACCAGACTGCTTATGTCATCTGATCACCTGAACACAGATGCCAGTTTTTTCCCCCTAGTTAATGATCTAATCATTGGTTGAAATCTGAAGGATGATTTTGTATCATGACAATCAATCTTAAAATTAAGAGAAAGGAATATATATGCTTTAAGATGATTAAAATCTACCAGGAGTCTAGGAGTCAAACTATTTTAAAGAGAATAGAAAAAGGGTAAAATTAAGTAATTTAAGATGTTCTATTAAAATGTGGTAGACATTTTCTTTAGAATTCTATTCTCCTTTTCAGAATGCCAAGCTCACAGTAGCTACCATGGGACCAACTCTTTTCCCAAGCACTTATACTCTCCCCTGTAAGAATGGTGTTAAGAGAAATTTTGGATGTGTAGTGAACAGACAGTTATAACTTGAAAGAAGAAAACAGAAAATCTAATGGATACCTCTCCTTCATTATCAAGTCTGTTGAAAAGAACACATTCACATTAATAATATCTTGCATATCCTCATCAGACTCACCATAAAGCAACTTATAGCATACTTTGGGGATGAATATTTACGGTTACTCTTTACAGTGATAACCCAATTATCCTGGAAATGTTTTAGTTCATACAACAAATTTGAGTAAAACTGGCAAAGACAGATCTCTTTTTTCCTGCTCAGATGATTCAGTTTAGTCATATGGATAACCCCAAATTCAGGGCATATACTCTGTTCAACTCTAGAGGCTGGAGCTGTGTACCGTGCTTCCGATTTCTATACCTCTTTCCTATAATTAATACTGGAAACATTCCTGTGAGACAGGGAGGCATAATGACTTTCTGTTACTGAGAAAAAATGCAAAGACGCAGAGGTTTTGCTAAAGAAGATAGTTCTTTTTATCTAGTCACATTCAGTGATAAGACAGAGTTAAAGCAAGATGTGATTATCCATACTTCAAAAAATAGATCCACAGCCTATGTGGTGGCATTTTCCAAGTGATGAAGAGACAGGAATTTTCTTTAGTATGTGAGAATAGTTATATATCCTAATTGAGATACCCTTCCAGAGAAAATGAGAAGAAGGCTTTACATGAGTATTGTCCAACAAATTTCTGTGATGATGGAAATGTTCTGTATCTATGCTGTACAATACAGTAGCTATTAGTCACATGACTATTGAACACTTGAAATGTGGACAGTGCAGTTGAGAAACTTAATTTTAAATTTTATTTAATTTAAATACCATTTGTGGCTACTGGTTACTATACTGAGCAAGACAGATTTAGATCCTTCTTATCCAGCAGTTTAAGATTGTATAAATTATTTTGAAATATATTCTAGAATTCTTAAAAACTCCAAGGCCTATGAAAACCAAAGTCAGCCTACATTCTGAAACATTTTGAGAACACCTTCACCTAATTTGGAATAAAGAAGTATGGAGAAGGCTATCTACTTTTCTGAATACGGTCTGACACAGAACTAATTACCAAGATTTCATTATGTTTGGGCTTCTATTAGATCTTCTGTCAAGATGGTTTGAATAGCTGTTCTCTTTAAGTTCCAATATGTTCAGTATCATTAAACACTTTAACACATGCTAATGTGGGCCTCAAATATGTGAAAGGTCTGTGCTAATAACAGAAATTATACTCAGCATAATTTACATCAATTTACCAAAATAACAAAACATAACAAAACTATTTGGCTAACTTGCCCTGCCATAATAATTTTAAAATGAAAATATGATATTATATTCAGGAACATCCACTTTATCTGGTATCTTATATAATTACATTTAGTATTAAACAATAAAAACTTTACTAGATCTAGCTAAGTACCTAAAACCTGAAAAAAAAAAAAAAGGTCTAGGTCAATGAAATATTAATAAAAGAATATCCCAACCCAGGCCAAACCCTATACTAAAAAACTGTAATTAAGACTCTAGGCCTACAATTTTAAG